GAAGACATACTAGTAAAAGTTGACAAGATTGTTTTTCCAGCAGATTTTATTATTTTAGATATGGAGGAAGACAAACAAGTCCTGATCATTCTTGGAAGGACCTTCTTGAGAACCGCTCGAGCCTTAGTCAATATAAGAGAGTCCAAACTTACTCATCAAGTTGGAGAAGAAGCGGTCACTTTTGGAGTTAATCGAGCAATCCAACATTCAAGGATAAGTGATGATACGGATTTTTTGATTGATGTGTTTGATGAATTACTTGAGAAAGAGCTTGGGGAATGGAAAGAAAAGGAAACCGAATGGTATATGGTGCTAGAAGAATGAGATATTGAAGCCGAATTTGACATACAAGAACTAGAGATGTTGCTGGAGGAAAGCGAATGCAATGAGGTGGTAAAAGGAGTTGAAGACACACCACGGCATGGCCCTGACACCACGACATGGTGTTCCAATTTCCCACGATCAGAAGAATTAAACTGCAACACCACAATGTGGAAAGATGACCACGTTGTGGCGACTGAAGAAAAACAGAAATCGAGCTCCAAACTTTACCCGAACATTTGAAGTAAGCATTTTTGGAAGAAGGAGAAAAAAACCAGTGATCATAGTATCTGATCTCACAAAACATGAAAAAGAAAGTCTAGTGGAAGTACTCAAAAGAAGACAAAGTGCCATAGCATGGGAGATTACCGACATCAAAGGAATTAGTCCCGCTTATTGTTCGCATAAAATCAACTTAGAAGAAGAGGTTAAACTAATAGTGCAACACCAAATAAGACTAAACCCGAACATGTAAGAGATGGTGAAGAAGGAGGTGGTAAAAATTTTGGATGCCAGTATTATATATTCCATATCCGATATTCAATGGGTGATTCTGGTACATGTGATACCCAAGAAAGGAGGAATGACAGTAGTCACCAATGAAAAAAAAAACGAGCTTATTCCAATAAGAGCGGTAATCGCTTGGCGTGTGTGCATCGATTATTGTAAGCTACACGATGCTATATGCAAAGACCACTTCCCCTTACCCTTTATTGATCAAATGCTCGAAAGTTTATCCGGTCATCTATACTATTGTTTTTTAGATGGTTTTTCAAGATACTTCCAAATTCCTATCGATCCTCAAGACCAATAAAAACCAGATTCACTTGCCTAAGTGGAACTTTCGCATATAGAAGAATGTCGTTTCAACTATGCAACACATCAGTCACATTGCAAAGATGCATGATGGCCATCTTCCACGGCATGATTGAGAAATTTATCCAAGTTTTCAAGGATGATTTCTCGGATTTTGGTTCCTCCTTTGAAGATTGCTTGTCCAACCTTGATCTAATGCTTGCTCAATGTAAAAAGACTAACCTAGTCCTAAATTGGGAGAAATTCCACTTTATGGTTAAAGAAGGGATTGTATTGGGACACAAAGTCTCAAAATTGGGGATAGAGGTAGACAGTGCAAAGGTAGCACTATAGCAAAATTACCACCTTCTACAAATGTAAAAGGGGTGAGAAATTTTCTAGGATATGCGGGATTTTACCACCTATTCATCAAAAACTTCTCAAAATCACAAGGCTATTGACTCAACTTCTTTTGAAGGATGATCCATTTGACTTTTCTAAAGAATGTCTTAAAGCCTTTCATTTATTGAAAGAGAAATTGACTAGTACCCCTATTATGATCGCCCCAAATTGAAATCTCCCTTTTGAGCAGATGTGTGATGCGGATGACTTTGTCGTAGGAGTTGTTTTGGGACAGAGGGTTGACAAGCATTTTCAACCAATCTATTATGCAAGCAAGACTCTTAATCAGGCCTAAGAGGATTATACTACTACCGAAAATGAGCTTCTTGCTGTGGTATATGCTTTTGAAAAATTCTGCCCATACTTAGTTTTATCAAAAACTATTGTTTTTACCGACCATTCTTCCCTCAAGTATCTTTTTGCTAAACAAAATGCTAAACCAATATTGATAAGTTGGGTGCTTCTTTCACAAGAATTTGACATTGAAATTAGAGATAAAAAGGGAATGGAGAACGTGGCGGCCGATCACTTATCAAGACTAGAAAACCCGCATTTGGAAGAATTAGAAGAAAAGAAGATTAGAGATGACTTTCTTGAAGAATATTTAATGGTAATCACAAGAAAGGTACCATGGTATGCGGATATAGCCAACTTCTTGGCTAGTGAATATCTTCCAAAAGAGTTGACACGACAACAAAAGAAGAAATTATTTTCCGAAGTCAAGTGCTAATTTTAGGATGTGTCGTACATTTTCAAAAGTTGTGCAGATGGAATTTTAAGAAGATATGTGTTCAGGAAAGAAAGCCTCGAGATCGTGAAACATTTCCATAACAGGCCCACTATAGGACATCATGGAGCGCAATACACTGCAAAGAAGGTATTCGATTCCGGTTTTTATTGGCCGGTAATTTTTAAGGATGCAACCCCGTTTGCAAAGGAATGTGATTCATGCCAAAGGTTGGGAAACATTTCCTCCCGAAATGAGATGCCCCAAAATAGCATCTAAGTTTGTGAGATATTCAACATTTGGGGGATCGACTTCATGGGACCTTTCCCAATGTCTCATGGGAATAAATATATATTGGTGGCAGTTGATTACATGTCTAAATGGGTGGAGGCGCAAGCATTACACACGGATGATACTCGAGTAATGGTGCGTTTTCTAAAAAAAATTATTCTCAAGATTCGGTGTACCAAAAGCTCTTATTAGTGATCGAGGATCCAATTTGGAAATGATCAATTGACTAAGGTTTTACAAAAATATGGTGTACACCATATATTTTCAACACCATATCATCCTCAAACAAGTGGACAAATCGAAGTCACAAACTGGGCACTTAAAAGAATTCTAGAGCGATCGGTTGGAGGTAATAAAAAGGAATGGTCGGAAAAGCTTGATGATGCACTTTGGGCATTTCACACGACATTTAAAACACCTATTGGCACTACACCATATAGGTTGTATATATGTAAAAATTTGTCACTTGTCAGTTGAAATCGAACACAAGGAATTTTGGGCTTTGAAGACTTGTAACTTTGAATTAGCCAAGCTTCGCACCAACCATTTGATGCAAATGAATGCCCTTGAAGAATTAAGAAATGAAGCATACTCTAGCTACTTGATCTAAAAAGATAAAACAAAGAAGTGGTACGATGCAAGGCTAAGAGGGCACAACGATTTTCACGAGGGGACAAAAGTTCTACTTTTTAATTCACGGTTAAAGCATTTTCTCAGAAAATTACAAACTCGGTGAGATGGGCCTTTCATTGTTAAATAGGTTTTCCCACATGGAGAAATTGAGTTAATAACAAGAGACGGAACTCCCTTCAAGGTTAATGGACATAGAGTGAAGCATTACGACGAAGGTATGCCAGATGAAGAAAAAGAATGGGAAATTGTGAAATTCGCACGAGCTGAATCAACATAAGCAGAAAGAAGTCCGGCTCATGACACCCCAAAAAGAAGCGCTTGCAGGAGGCAACCTGTGGTTTTGAGTTGGCATTTTCTTTTATTTTCTTTATTTTTTCTTTATTTATGTTTGATTTTATTCTCTCATTCATCTGCATTTTTATTTCGATTTCGAAGTGGGTAATGGCATGGATTAAGTGTAGGATGGACATTTTTATAAAAATTTGACCATAACAGATTTATTTTTTACCACAGCGTGGTGAATTTCACCACGAGGTGGTAACTTTTCAGAAAGCTTTTTTCACGAATTATAAGCCTACACCATGAGGTGGTGGAGACAACACAACGTGGTATCAGTTTACCCTCAGTCAAATTGGGGTTTTTATTCCATAGTCAAAACCATTTCTCACTTTTCACATTCACCCACCTCTCATCGTGCCATCCGCCCCACAAAGAACCTTACCTCCAATTTTCAATTTCTTTGTTTGATCAACAAAATGGTATGATTTTTGACATCTTTTCTTTGTTATACTCGAGCTTATAGTAGATTCTAGTCCTCATTTACTGATTTAAACAACATTTAGGGCCGATTTTATGAACAATGGTTCTGATTTTTGCCAAAATTGGACCCAGTTTTTGATGTTTCTACCTTGCATTTTTTTAATATACTCAATTACATGCCCTAAACAAACCCTTGACTTGATTCCAGTTGAAAGAGGCCTGATTTTGGTTTGATTTACATAGAAAACGCGACATGATCGTCGATCGTCGTGGTCCTCGTCATGGTTGATGATTTTTTGGCATAAATCTACTTGTTCTTAATTGTTAATTCTATATATTGTTGCTTGTTTTGTAGTTTTTTTTATTTTCCAGTCATGGCCAACCGTTCTTGCAGAAACCAACTCGGGGTCTCCCCACCTTTCCTGGGTATAATTTTCCTCGTGTCGTGGGTCCCGAAGTTCTTGCAAAATGGAACGGGAGACTAGAATGGATGAAGCAAAGAAAAGTCCATGTCCCTGCACTTGTTGATTGGGGATGGATTGAGCAAGTCAGATTGTTAGAGAGCATTGAATCAATTTGGTTAAGGCTATTGATGGGATACACGAAAGGTTTATGTGCATGGGATGGAGGAGGTTGTTTCATATTCAAGAGGTTTTTTATAAGGAGTTGGTGGTCGAGTTCTTGGCGACAGTTTCATTTCATGGGAAGATTAGTGTGATAGAGAATGGGAATATTACATTTTGTCTTGGAGGAGAACGAAAAGAACTTAGCCTTGCCAAGCTAGCAATAAGAATGGAGATATATCTCCCAAACGAAGTGTATACAGACTCTTATTTAGTGTTTGTTATGGTTGGCATCAAAGTCACAGAAGGGTTCAAGGCCGAAACATATTGGCGAGACATTGCAAATGGAACCTACCACAAAGGGACCGCCCAATAAAGTGATATTTGGTCCCGTATCCATCGCCTTTTACATAGGTTCATCACCAATACTATTAATCAAAGGCAAGAGGGGGACAAAGTCCCGACATTATATGTGTTTTTCCTTTGGGCACTTATCACATTGAACATCCATGTGGACCTTCCTTACTTGTTGGCTGACTTTTTATCCATTTGGGCGGGCAAAGATCAATGTGGTTCTCCTTTGTATGTTGGTATGTTGATCACTCGAATTGCCGATAGTTAGCATTCTTGACAAACGTGAAGCAATGTCTTGACTATTGAGCCACCAAAAGCTTTTTCTCCTCTTATGTAGAAATGGGCTCACATTGTTGAAGATAATGGGTTGGGTAATTTTTCTATTCCAAATGATATGCCAAGAAACCAACCCGGGAGCGCGGGTGAGACAAAGGAGTGGTGAAGCTAAATAAGATGAGCCTCCAATAATCCTAACTGAGGACGAGCTCCCAATCTATCCCTACAATGTAGCATCGAGAAGGTTTCAAGATAATTTGGCTTGGAGTTCCAGTTATACCAATATGAATTTGGATTACAAGATGCAGCAAATGCATTTCGCTCGACCCGATCATTTTCCACCTTCATACCCTTATGCACCAAGTTGGGAGGAGCTTTGGAGAGAGAAACAGGTAGGAGCCGGTGGCAATGGTGGAGGTGGTGATGATTATGATAATGAGGAATGAGAGTTTTATCATTTATTTGAAGTGGAATTAACACATGTTTCTTTTACTTTGTTTATTTTCATTTGTTTGGTGTGTTTTGTTTGGATATTTGTCTTTTTGTTGCTGGAATTTGTTTCCTAGTTTTTTTTATCAATTGTCTTTGCTTTAGATTCTCGGGAATGTTTAAAGTCCAAGTGAGGGGTAATTTTGGCAAGAGAATGTTTCATTTTAGAGAAAGATTAGAAACCAACGAGAGAGGAAAGAGTTGAGCATTACGTGAGTTAATTTGAGCAACAAGTGAAGAGTCACATCCAAGAAATGTTTATCTTTGTTGTTTCTAAGGAATTTTGACAAAAATTGTTGTTAACATCACTTATTTATGTCATTTTCTACTCCACACGAAGTGGTACCAATGACCACGATGTGTTTTCGCAGTCAAAAAACGTAATATTATTTCCTTCACGCCACCATGACATGTTCTACAGCACCACAACGTAGAGCCTTTTCAAGTCTAATTTTCGAGTCTAATCATATACATTTTGAAGTATAAGTGTACAAGTCTTTGAGTCACTTTCCATAGCGGTCAATCACTCCCGTTTCCATACTTTTGAACAAGCTATATCACACGTTAGCCACATGATCCTATATGTATCTTCTATCCCAGGGGAATCTGTTCTTTTTTCTCCTTTTTTAATTTTATGTTTTGCATAGCATGCAATGGGGGCATTGCATGAATTAAGTGTGGGGTAGGGGGTATATTGCATTAGAAAAGCAAGCATTTGATTTTTCAAAATTTTCATTGCTGGTTTTCAAAATTTGCATTCATTTATACTTAAAACAATAGTTTAAGTTAAGAAAACCTAGCTAATTAAAATCTTTACTAGTATTGGATGGGATGACCCGATAAGAGCCCAAATGTTTACCCGAGCCAACACATGTTATAGTGTATTCGTAGCTTCCCATTTCCTAGTGAAAAGTCATGAAGTATGATAGGTGATCTGTTAGCTTATATGATGTAATAAGTTATGTAGCTTGTACCTGAAATCTATCCAGGAAAGCTTAAGTAGCCATTGCACCTAGACTAATGCCTTTAACCAATAAAGGTTGAAGTTAAGCTCCTAACTTATGCATGTAGGGCTTTAAGTGAAAAAAAATGAGATACATGTAAAAAAAAGAAGAGATAAATTACAAAAAAGTTGAAGGATTTTGGAGCTGTCAAACGATGAAAACTGAAGATCAAAAATTATGAAGAAATTACCAAAAAGTTGAAGAATTATGGAGCAGTCAAAGTATAAATTCTAAGATTATAAAAATTCTGAAGATATACGAAAAAGAGGAAGATACCAAATAATTCAAACAAAAAAGGTGATAAATTCAAAGAAATTAAGAAATAGATGAATTCCAAGGAACTCATTTGTGGTATCAAGAGTTGTAATTTTTCTAGATTGTGTATGCTTGGAAGTTTAACCAAAAATACTTTAAGGTTAAGAAAGGTTTCTGGGGATGGATTCGGAGGGTTGCAAAAATGAGTGTTCTATAAGTTAAGGGGTGAAGGTTCATATAGATTATGAATATTTAGGAATGGGAGGTTTTCATGAATTATAGATACAAATACATGCATTGTGGTCTTGGGATAATGGTTGGGGTTTGAAATGGATTGTTCTATGTGATAATGGTGAAATAATAAGAATCAATTTACTTGAGGACAAACAAAGAATAAGTGTGGCGTATTTTGATTTGTGAATATCTATATATATAATTATACATCATATCTTAATATTTTTAATTACTTTTATGCCCTTTATAGAACAAAATGTACTTAATTTGTTAGGTATTATGTTGTACGGGTAAAAGATATGCTTGGACCAGAAAGGAAGCTGGAAGTTGGATGTTAAGGAGTTTGATTGAATATTATTAAAAGAAGAAAAATATACCCAACACATCATGCTGACATCACCACGACGTGGTGTTTTAACTTTTCCCGATTGACTTCGAAGACTATTGAATACAGGATAATTACAAAGACCATGTCGTGGTGGCCTCACCATGTAGAGGGTCTGTTTTCCTGTAAATTATAAATACATGCCATTTTATCCAAATTGGGAGCCTTTTGTTGGAAGCTTTAGATGATTTTTGAAGACTAAGGATTTGAATTGAAGCTTGGAAGTGAAGGATTGTAGCTTGGGAAATGAGAGTAATAAGGCAATAACTTCTTATCCACGATTTTATATTCTAGTTTGATCATGACTTTGCATATAGAATCCGTTTTTATGACTTTACCTACTGAAATCATGGGCTAAAACCCCATGACTTTCGTTTGACATAAATTTACTTGACTATATGTGGTTTCATTTATGGTTGGATTAAGTTTTTATTGGTTATTTGTTTAATTATCTATTTAAAGAACCTATTGTGATTGTGATAACTGTTTTATCTATTTATTGTTGAGTTTAATTAAGTTTGTATGGCTATCTTTCTTGATTGAGCTTGAATCTTATGATCTTTGTGGATTGCAAAAATTGTAGGACTAGAGTTTTGACTAAAACCTAAGGTTAAATAGAAAAATGGGTAAATAATTATGGGAGCTAATATATAATGAGCTATCATATATTGAATTGATCAATTAACCAATTTGATCGATCTATTATAAGTCTAATTATACTCGAACTGAAAACTAGTAAGCTTGTTAGTTTATCCGTATGATCACCAAATAAATGAACTTGTTTGCTAAAGGATTAAGTTAGTGAATATTAACTTGGTCATCTTAGGAATCGGTAACCAATTCAACATTAATCCATTTCACTTCCATAAACCAACCATAATAGCAAGTAAATTGAAGCTAAACGAAAGTCTCTCAAATACCTTGGTTAAAATCATCTCTTTTTGTTTCTTGCTTTAGTTTGATAATTTGCTTAGTTAATTGTTAGTTTAGCTTAGTTAATTAAGTTTCTAGTCTTGCAAAACTAGAGAAAAATCATTTTTTCTAATTTTCATAGTAATTTAGTTAGTAGTAGCTAAAAATTAGTTAATAATATTGTTCCCTGTGTTTGATACTTGTGATTTGTGCTATGCTATTTACAACAAGGTACATTGCTTTAAATAGAAATTAGTTACATTGGTAGGGTAAACTGCTGTGTAATTATTTTTCACATCAGTTTTGATTTGACAGATTTTACGAATTTGAAATGAAATAAAATAATAGATCACATTCTGAGTTCAAAAACATGCTCAAAAACAATTTACAAGGCTCGTATCTATTCCAAACAAAGTAGTGTTGAGTTCATTTCAGAAAAATCAGATAAATATTGATTTTATAACTTAAAAGGGGAGTAACTTCCTCATATGATCTCCTTTTGGACGTTCTTTATATCAAAGGAATGCTTATTTTGTGAATTATTTTCCAAATGTAAAATTTTGAGAGTTTTTACGGTATTTTGTATGAATTTTTAAGTATAATGACTTCAATTTCACTCAAGAACAAGGAATACTACACAATAGGTCCTTTTATAGTGAAGTTAGTGGTGGCTTGACTGGCGAACTTTGACCTATTTTTACCAATTGTTACAGAATTTTGTTAAACATTCATCATTTTCTATATTAATCTATAATGATTCATGTACAAGTGGGAGATTAAAATATTTATATGCTCAAGAATCATTTTAGAATGATATTACTAATAAGATATGATCCTAAAGGGTCACATAAATAACAAGTTGACATAGATTATTTATATAAGAATTTGATTCTTGATAAATATTCATAACTCTTATATTTTATTGAAGTTTATTTATTTATGGAAATAATAATTTTCAATGTTAAATATCAAAACATGTCATAAGGTATGGCTTATTATGTCATGTACAACTTTTTGGACCAAAATGTTGTTTTGGCTTATATGAATGTACATGAGTTTATATCTTATGAAAGATTGGAAGATTTTTATAAAGATCTTTCTTCCTTTTTCTCTAAAAAACCGAGAAGTGTAAGGCATGGCACAAAAGAGAATCTAGTCGATTATTACAAGGTCATTGCCATGATTTAGAAGCATGGGACTTTATCAACACTAGGCATGGAGGTAGTGTTCTAAAAGGTGTGAGGCGCAACTTTATCATTTCGAAAAACCTTCTGGGGGTTTTATTAGGCATGGTGCATGGAAAGTTGTGATATGGTGCGCCATGACAAGTTATGACATGGTGTGGCATATTCATTTTCAGAACGGGCATACAAACATTGAGTTTTGGCTTACTTTGTTCTATTAGTTATTGATATAACATATTTAAAAACTTGATATATTTGATATAAATGTATAATTATGTGATAATATAATTATAAATTAATAACGAATTCCAAAATAGGATTTATTAATTGATAAAATCAGGAGTTTATAAAAAAAATTATGATTATTGTGTATACTACATTAAAATTTCCCACATTATTATTACTGCTTAAAAAAATCAATTTTTGTAAAAAAGGGGAGTGTGAAATTACTTTATGATAAAGAATTCATTTATTTCAATTATTTTTCAAGAACAAAAAGAAAACAAAGGATCAGTTGAATTTCAAGTAGTAAGTTTCATCAATAAGATACGTAAACTTACTTCACATTTGGAATTGCACAAAAAATACTATTTACCTCATAGATGTCTGCGGAAAATTCTAGGAAAACATCAACTACTGTTGGCTTATTTGTCAAAAAAAAAAATAGAGCGTGTTATAAAGAGTTAATAGGCCAGTTGGATATTCAAGAGAGAAAAACTCGTTAATTTGAAGAGTTAGTTTGAATTATCTCTTAAAGTTTGATGAACTTCTTTTCGCTTTCAACAATTCATGGAAGAATAAATCAATAAAAACCTATGAATAGACTAGCTATAAGAAAATACCTCATGATAGTTAATATGGGACCTCACCACCCTTCAATGCAAAGTGTTCTTCAACTCATTGTTACTCTAGATGATGAAGATGTTATTGACTGTGAACCAATATTGGGTTATTTACATAGAGGTATGGAAAAAATTGTAGAAAATCAAAGAATTATACAATATTTGCCATATGTAACACGTTGGGATTATTTACCTACTATGTTCACAGAAGCAATAACTGTAAATGCACCAAATCAATTAAGCAATAGTCAAGTCCATAAAAGGGCCATAAATTAGTAACTGCATCCAATTTCTAAAAAAATCCAATTGTTTCAATTGTTGCCTTATATCATGCCTTGAAAAGTCATGGCATCACCATGGATCGTATAGTTTAAGGCTTGTCTTTTACGCCACGCCACATCTCACTCCTTTTAGAACCTTACATGGAAGTATGCAGAATCTTAAGAGGTTAAGACACAATGGGTAAAGGATTAAGATAGAAAGGCTTTTGATCTAGTCTTTCTCTCACTCTTGGAGTCGTCCAGTTCCTTCTCTTTCTCTTTTTTCATTCTTCTAAGTTTTAAGACATAGTAGAGCAAAATATATACTTGAATATTAGTCAAAGTCATTCATTTTTCTTAGAATCTTAAGAGTTTGGGACTAGCATCCGAATCAGTTTGGCAATTATTGGTGAATACCATTAGAGGAGTTCTTCTTGACTCTTGTCGCGCTTCATCAAGTACCAACCTCCCTTGAGGAATTAAAGTTTGTAAAGGTGTATCCTACCGTTAATATTTATAGGTCATGTCCCTCTATTTGGGAACCATTTGCCATTAATGTTCGTTGTAGTTGGTATGGATAGAAACAATGAACCCCTACTCATACCATTTGGTTTAGGAATTATAGAGTGTGATGAGTCTTAAGCATGGTTCATAAGGAGGTTGAATGAATGTATTGAGGATGGTATGGATGTCGACTTTATAAGTTATACATCCATTCCAATAGAATATACCCTTAGTGTTGTCGTCCTAAATTAATATTATGGGTTATTGTCGTATGAATATAGCTAAGAATGTACAGGCTTTGATTGGACACCATAGCATAGAGGAATGGTTGTTCTTGCAGACATCAAATACGTATAATGTCTTGAATTTTACTTATATTTGGATAGACTTCAAAATGCTATCGGCAATGTACTTAATGAGAATGAACTTGTTTGCCTTGACAATATTGCTATTGTCAAATGTGCGATGGTCTTTTTTCTTAAGGTTCGTTTCAATGCAAAGTCAGTTGATATTTTCAAGGTTGTAAAAAGGTTATCGACCTCTAGACATGAGTTACATATAACGACGATCATTGAGATGGCCTGTCAGCCGATTCAACAAGTATATATTTAACGCAGTGATGTCGGAGGCAAATAAATAATTATATACTTATTATCGTTGTGTTAGGATATATAAGTAATTTCATTTCAGAGGCTCTTTGGTAATCTAACCCTTTATGATGAGACAGTGGTTCAAAAAATGATGCACAAATTTGAACCTGTGAGGCAAGACATGTTTCTGGCAAGTGGCAACAAATTTGATGTAATTAATTTTTTGCACAATGAAGTGGTACAACTCAAGCATATGATTTGTACATGTGGAAAATAAAAAAACACATTATAGTGGCATTGCAAAAGTTTACGTCTATAGACAGTTACCAGATTATTCATGTTAAGTTAATTTTCACAAATTGCCATATACTATTTACGATTTCATGTATTCGAAAATTAATTTATTTTAAAAATAACATAAAATCGCAAATGAAATGACGATTTCGCAAATGAAGAGATAAAATCGAAGGCGTGTTAACCTAGCGGCGATTTCATTAGCTATTTTTGGTTAAATGCTAATTTTTTACTTTTTTATTAAATTATAAAAAAATTATACGTTTTTTGTAAATTTCTCTAATTAACAATCTCTATAAAAACTATAAGTCTTTCGTTTCTGAAAATTCATATAATAGTTTTTCAATTTTAAAAAGTTTTATAATTTTATAAAGGGTAATTTTATACATAACCCCATTACATACACACATACATTATTTGGTGTACCATTTTTACGAGTGGAATGACATATAAACGTATGATTTAACAATTTATATTACTAAGGATTAAGGAGTGAAACATGTTATGTATGTTACCATATTATCTTCGAAACCATATAATGTTTGTTAAGTCATTAATTTTGTCATCCAACATAAATAATATGATATCTTCGAAACCATATAATGTTTGTTAAGTCATTAATTTTGTCATCCAACATAAATAATATGAGATATTTAAGGATAGATCAATTTGGTTAAAAAAATGAAAAATAAACTCTCTCTCTCTCTCTCTCTCTCATCGGCATTAACATGTTATTTTTCTTTATTATGTTATTAGATTTAAAACTAGTTTATTACACGGGTTGATTAAATATATATATATATATATATATATATATATATATATATATATATATATATATATATATATGTAGAGTTTATTTTAAGTATTTAAAATATATATAAATTAACATGTAGATATTATTTATTTAAAAAATTTTATAGAATAATAAATATCAAAACTAATTAAATATTAAGTTTTTATTTATCATAATAAATGTCTAAGATGTCATACTTCAAACCTAAAAAATACCATACTAGTATCTTTTAGTAGCAGCCTTTATAAAAAATTTAAAAAAGCTCGTACCCCTATTGTTGATGATTAGCTTTTTCCTCTTTTTCCCTGGATATTTAATGCAAAAATTCAAAATAATAAAGTTTCCATCCATCCCTATCCGGTATATTTAATAGTTGGCATGGTGGTAGCTGGAATGTAATGTATTCAAATATAATATATAAATACACAACTTATGGTTTTATTTTAATAAAAGGTTGTAGCAGTCACAAAGACAAAAAAAAAAAAAAAAAAAAAAAAAAAAAAAAAAAAAGTGATAGCCTTAAAGCCTTGCATCAATTATTTCATAACCATTTTCATTTTTCACACAAAACATATAATAAAAAATATATCAAAATGTTATCTCGTTCTTATCCATTATGATGTAAAAGCAATAAAAAATATTTTTTCACACTAATTATAAAACTCGCATCAAATATTTAATAAAACAATAGAAAAACCCGACCGGCGGGCTGCTTGCTTCCACAAAAACAGTAAGCATGCCGCTGCCCTTCATTAAACCCTAAACCCGGTTCACTTTAGAACTGGACCGGGCTCGAGAACGTCTGACCGAATCCCCAATTCGCCGGAACAATATCGGAAAACGTTTTCGTCACACCGTCGGTGGTCGTCACCATGAACGACATCGATTGACCATTCAAGTAGGAATTCGATTGCCAATTAGCTCCCCAATTTCTCGACATCGCCATCCATCCCGTTTTCGATCCCTTCACTTTCACCGACTGAATCGATCCAGCGGCGCCGATGTTGCTTATCAGAACAAGCTCGAAGTAGTCTCTGCCATTGACGGTGAACCTAACTCCGCCGTGTTTCTTACAGGGAACTCTGTAAAAAAAACAAAACCCACAAATCAAAATCAATATAGAAACTACAAAGTCTTGATTTTTGATCCATGAAAGAGAGAGAGATTGGGACCTTTGGTAGATAATTGGGACGATTCCGCCTCTGTAGATTCCGATTTTCTCCCAGGCAGGTTGTGCCATGTCGAAATGCTCTCGCGGCGGGTTGCACCATCCTCCGTCGTCACTCGGCTGAGCGAAATTTGGTGGGCAGAAGTTTGTGGCGGTGATTGTTACCGACGTTCCTTTGATGCACCACCGTGGGTCCGCCTTGTAATCGCATATGAGTTTGTAGCATTGGCCGCAGGCGGCGCCGTCGTTGAAGAGAGCAGTACTTAGTGCAGCAGTTCTTGTACCATAACCCGTAGAGTACAAATTACCATATCCACAAGCACCCCCTGCAGTAATTAACACAAAACAACCTTTAATAAAAATATAATTAAATAAAAATAAACACATTTATCAAAATAAATGTCACAAATAACTTATACAATTACATGGTTAATACTAATACATGTTGAAATATTACAAAATCGATAAATTTAACTAAAAATACGTATATGCATGTGTACACGTTTTAAAGAACCTATTGTATACATAAATGTGCATTACATATGAATATACTCAGAAAACAAATAGAAATTAAGACATTGCAATTAGTCGATTTGGGATGATTGCATACCCATTGTTCCAGAAGCATCACTGCCACCATAGAAGGTGGCATGAGCACTGGTCCAGCCTGAAGCAGTAAAAGCATGGACATAAGGTAGGAGAACATATAGAAGGATTAGCAATAGAAACCCTAATTTCGCCATTTTTGTTCTGCAATAGAGCTGAAGATGATGATGATGATGATGATGATGATACGGAAAGATGAGGAGAATATGAGGTACTTAAATAGTAACAAATCCAACAATGTCACATGTAAGTCTGTAAGTAGGGAATAGAAATTAAATATGTACACATTATTAATATATTATAATAGAATTATCTGTGCACAGGAACCGAGAAATTCTTGAATTTGATTGCAATTGTTCATACGTTGTATCGCAACACATGAAAAAACCTACAGAAGATCCTTCAATCCCAATGGACCGAACTTCATCAAATTGGCTAAAGTGATTCTATTTTTTATTTTTGTTACAGACCTTTTAGCCGATAAGCTTACTCTTTATATATATATATATATATATATATATATATATATATATATATATATATATATATATATATATATATATATATATATATATATATATATGAAGGTTCAATTGATAAAAAAAAAATGTTAAGAATAAGGGAATCATTCTCACCCAATCATTTATTTTTGTCACAAAAGGTTCCAACGTACCAGCGAAAATATATACAGATGTGTTTTCCAACATAAAATATTTCCTTAAACTATGTTAATCATTACCTTAATATATACAAAAACATAGTTTTTTTGTTTTTTTTTTAATTTTTATAAGCTATTTTTATCAAAAAATGATTTTAAATATACCAAAATTCATGATTTTTTTATTCTCTACAAATAGAGATTCATATTGATATAGTTTTAAGATAAAATAAAAATTTTATTTTTTTTATATTTTCAGCTATCGTTATTCATAAATGAATAACAATGCATCAGGTTTTATTACAGTACATTCGTTATTCACTTATGAATAAAATATATGATTTTTTTTTTTTACAATTTAAGTATCATTCATATATGAATATAGCATATAATAAACATAATATATTCATATTTTAATATTTGACGATGAATTCACTTGTAAATATTAACATAGTATATTGACTTGTTAATATTAGATGATATTACATAGTATTACATGGTATATCACATGTGAATATTACAGAGTATATTCACTTGTGAATATTAGATGATATATTCACATGTGAGTATTAAATGATATTTCATATGTGAATATTCACTTATGGGTATTAAATGATATTTCATATGTGAATATTACATAGTATTACATGGTATATCATATGTGAATATTACAGAGTATATTCACTTGTGAATATTAGATGATATATTCACTTATAATATTACACAATATATTCACATATGAATATTACAAGGTATATTCACTTATAAATATTGAAGGTATTTTGACAAATATATATAATTTTTATATGTTATTCACATATGAATAACATACAGACTTGCATATTTGTTTTGTGTTTTTAATAATCATATACTGATTCAGGTGAGAAAACATATTTATATGTGAATATAACGTGGTAATTTAGTTTATGCATTTCATCAAACAATTGGAGTGCAAACAAGTTAACTATTTTAAAAATGTTTAAAACATCAAGTTATCAATTCCAAATCATCATATACTTCCGATTTCGACTTCAGATGCGACATCCTATCTCTGATCGATTTCTCAATTTGATTTTGATTTCCGAAAATCCGATTAGGAACCTCTGAGTACCGATTCTAAGTCCCTCAATGTCGACTGTGATTGCGAGTCCAGAACTCCGATTCCAATTTCATGAACAGCGAAGAAATTCCGGTTTAGTTGAAGAAATCTGGATGATTATTAAAGGTTTGAGGAAAAATTTTGATGATGAACGAACAGTTATCGAATTCTCTATAGTTACGTATTTGAGATTGAAGGTTATTACGATATTTACAAGTTTGTCATCGTGTCTTTTATGCTTAGATTAAATGAGTGGCTGAGAATGATTCCCCCATTCTCAACCTTTTTTATTTTCTCAATTGAACCCACCTCTCTCTCTCTCTCTCTCTCTCTCTATATATATATATATATATATATATATATATATATATATATATATATATATATATATATATATATATATATATATATATATATATGCTTAGATTATTTTGTTTTTACTAAATATTGTGTGCCAGAATGCACAGATCTGGACCATCGGACAGAATAGAATCAAAGGTCATTGTGCGTCAATCGAATTTGTTTTAAATTTACTTGTAGGATCAAAAATCAAACCAAAGAAATTAAAATAAACCCCCAATCAATAAAAATGGAGATGCAATTTTGATTTAACTCACCCTTGTACTACGAGATGCAATTCTTGATTTAACTCCATATTCGCATTCTGTTGTGGTAATAACTCTACCACTCATGAGTAAAGCTCTTTCCCGGCAAGGAAATCAAAGATCTAGAGAGAGAGAGGATCGAATTTCTAGAGTTAGGAAGGAGGCCATGGTCGGAAGAGTTAAAGGGGACTTCAAGGAGGTGAACGTCGTAGGTGGGGAAGGAGCCAATACGATGGATTTTGATAAAGTTGTCAGTCAGTGGTTTTATAGGGTTTATAAATTGATTTTCCTTTTCCAGATTTATAGGTTATTAAATATTCCAATTAATTACCATAACTAATCATAGCAGGATTACAAATATACCCTTATTAATTAATTTTAGTTATTTGATAATTTGCGATTAGTGCATTTAGGAACATAATATTTGCTACAAACATTTGAACCTAGCTATATATATATATATATATGTATATATTGTGTTCCTAAATGTACCAATCACAAATTAGCAAATAATTAAATAATAAAATTAATTAATAAGGGTATATATATATATATATATATATATATATATAGAGAGAGAGAGAGAGAGAGGTGGGTTCAATTAAGAAAATAAAAAAGGTTGAGAATGGGGGAATCATTCTCAGCCACTCATTTAATCTAATCATAAAAAGACACGGTGGCAAACCTGTAAATATGTTAATAACCTTCAATCACAGTCGACAGTCGACATTAAAGGACTCACAATCACAGTCGACATTGAAGGACTCAGAATCGGTACTCACAGGTTCCCAATCGGATTTTCGGAAATCAAAATCAAAATGAGAAATCGATCAGACATAGGATGTCACATCTGAAGTCGAAATCGGAAGTATATGATGATTTGGAATTGATAACTTGATGTTTTTAACATTTTTAAATAGTTAACTTGTATGCACTCCAACTGTTTGATGAAATGCATAAACTAAATTACCATGTTATATTCACATATGAATATGTTTTCTCACCTGAATCAGTATATGATTATTAAAAACACAAAACAAATATGCAAGTCTATATGTTATTCATATGTGAATAACATATAAAAATTATATAGATTTGTCAAAATACCTTCAAATATTCATAAGTGAATATATTCACAAGTGAATATACCTTCTAATATTCATATGTGAATATACTGTGTAATATTCATAAGTAAATATATCATCTAATATTCATAAGTGAATATAATATGTAATATTCTCATGTGATATACCATTTAATACTATGTAACATTCACATATGAAATATTATTTAATACTCATAAGTGAATATATCATCTAATATTCACAAGTGAATATAATATGTTAATATTCACAAGTGAATGCATCATCCATTATTAAAATCTGAATATACTATGTTTATTATATGCTATATTCAATTATGAATGATACTTACATTGTAAATAAATAAAAAATTTAAAAATCATAACTTTCATAAGTGAATAAGGAATGTACCGTAATAAAATCTGATGTATTTTTATTCACTTATGAATAACGATAGCTGAAAATATAAAAAAAAATATTTTATTTTAAAACTATATCAATATAGATGTCTATTTATAAATAATAAAAAACCATGAATTTTGGTATATTTAAAATCATTTTTTGATAAAAATAGCTTCTAAAAATTTTAAAAAAACAAAAAAAAAAAAAAAAAAAAAAAACTATGTTTTTGTATATATTAAAGTAATGATTAACATAGTTTAAAGAAATATGTTTTGTTGGAAAACACATGTGCATTCCTTTTCCATTTCCACCGGTAGATTGGAGACTTTTGCGGCAAAACTAAATGATTGGCTGAGAATGATTCCCCCATTTTTAACATTTTTTTTTCTCAATTGAACCCTCCCCTATATATATATATATATATATATATATATATATATATATATATATATATATATATATATATATATATTATATATATATATATATATATATATATATATAGTTTTAACCAAAACAAGTTATTGACAAAAATATAAGGAGAAAATTACTAAACTACCAAAAACATTAATTACTCATTCAATTTTAACTAAAAATTAGTAATCGTCTCAAAATAGCATTTGAAAGCATAAACTTTAGATTTGTCTATCGTTCGTCTTTTCATCTATTGTTTTGTCTTTTCGTTTACTGTTTTGGTTATTAAAAATAAAATAAAAAAGAACATTTTTGTGATTAAAACTGAGGTATTATTTTAACTATGGTATTCTCTCGATTAGGTTATGGTTTCCCTTTTTTTTTTGTTAGTTTTTAAAAAAAAAAAAAATCAAATGTGAATCATATCTATATATAATTTACAAGTAAATTAACTCAAAAAAAACATAGGCTTCATACGAAACATACGATGTACAAGTACACAATGCATAATTTATGTATTGTATACATGTACACCGTAGGTTTCGTACGGATCCTCCGGTTTCATATTATTTTGGTTTTTTTTGTAAAAAACAATCTATATGTATAAAAATTACTCCTAATCAATAACACGGTAAAATTTCGGCAAAAACAATACATACATCGCTGTTCTTTGAAAGCTCTATTGAGATAAAATAGTGTAACAACGTAATTTGACGAAACAACTTTTCATTTTTCAACACCATAAAACTCAATTAATATTCTCAAATCTCATGTTGTCAAATGTCATCACAAATAAACATATCCCAGAATCTCAAAAACATAATCTGCTGTCAGTGTGTACACATACCACATAACACGGTAAGCATAAATATTTAGTGAGTTTCCCAAAATACCACATACAGCACATAAGCCACTCGAGGCTATAACTCGGTATGACCCTCCGGTCAATGTGTCTCAGCGGGACCCTCCAGTCCCGTAGCTCGTTGGACCCTCCGATTCGGTCTGTATCGTTGGACCCTCCGGTCCGGTCTATATCGTTGGACCCTCCGATCTGGTCTATATCGTTGGACCTTTCTATCCGTTCTAAATAACACATAGCATATAAATAACGCAATGTACATAAATCTCAAACATACATATACACATAAGACCCTCCGGTCTACACATAGATACCACTCTAGGTAATGAATAGCGAGAAGACTCACCTCGG